GGGGGTCATCGCTATTAGGCTGGAGGGCATCGCTATTAGGTTGGAGGTCATCGGGATTAGCTTGGAGGTCATTGCTATTAGGTTGGAGGTCGTCGCTAGGCCATCCCCAGTAGGTTGAAGGCCATCGCTGGTAGGTTGGAGGTCATCGCTAGGCAATCCTTAGTAGGTTGGAGGCCATCGCTGGCAGGTTAGAGGTTGGAGGTCATCGCCATTAGGTTGGAGGTCATCGCTATTAGGTAGGAGACCATTGATAGTAGGTTGAAGGGTTAAAGGCCATCCCTAGTAGGTTGGAGACCATCAATGGTAGGTTGAAGGTCATCGCTATTAGGTTGGAGGCCATTGCTAGTAGGTTGAATTGACGGGTTGGAGGCCATCCCTAGTAGGTTGGAGGTCATCGCTATTAGGCTGGAGGTCATCGCCAGTAGGTTGGAGGCCATCTCTAGTAGGTTGGAGGCCATCGCTGGTAGGTTGGAGGTCATCGCTAGTAGGTTGGAGGTTATTGCTGGTAGGTTGGAGGTCATCACTATTAATTAGGTTGGAGGTCATTGCTATTAGGTTGGAAGCCATAGTAGGTTGGAGGCAATCCCTAGTAGGTTGGAGGCCATCCCCATTGACTCAATTGCTAGTAGGTTGGCAGGTTGGAGGCCATCGCTAGTAGGTTGGAGGTCATCCCTATTAGGTTGGAGGCCTTTGCTAGAAGTAGGTTGGAGGCAATTGCTAGCAGGTTGGAGGTCATCGCTAGTAGGTTGGAGGTCATCGCTGGTAGTTGGAGGTCATTGTAGTAGGTTGGAGGTCATCGCTATTAGGTTGGAGGCCATCGCTAGTAGGTTGGAGGCCATTGCTGGTAGGTTGGCGGTCATCGCTAATAGAATGAAGTTATCGCTATTGGGTTGAAGGCCATCCCTAGTGGGTTGGAGACCATCCCTAGTAGGTTGGAGGCCATTGCTGGTAGGTTGGAGATCATCGCTATTCGGTTAGAGGCCATTGCTAGTAGGTTAGAGGCCATTGCTAGTAGGTTAAAGGTCCTCGCTATCAGGTTGGAGGGCATTGCTAGTAGTAGGCTGGAGGCCATTGCTAGGAGGTTGGAGGTCATCGCTATTAGGTTGGAGGCCATTGCTAGTAGGTTGGAGGACATCGCTATTCGGTTGGAGGTCATTGCTAGTAGGTTGGAGGTCATCGCTAGTAGGTTGGAGGTCATCGCCATTAGTTTTGAGGCCATTGCTGGTAGGTTGAAGGGTTGGAGGCCATCCTAGTAATTAGATTGAAGGCAATCGCTGGCAGGTTGGAGGTCATTGCTAGTAGGTTGGAGGCCATTGCTAGTAGGTTGGAGGTCATCGCTATTAGGTTGGAGGCCATTGCTCGAGGCCATTGCTAGTAGGTTGGAGGTCATTGCTATTAGGCAATTTCCAGTGGGTTGCAGGCCATTGCTAGTAGGTTGGAGGTCATCGCTATTAGGTTGGAGGCCGTCGCTATTAGGTTGGAGGCCATTGCTATAGTAGGTTGGAGGTCATCGTTATTAGGTTTGAGGCCATCGCTATTAGCTTGGAGGCCATTGGTAGTAGATTTGAGGTCATCGCTATTAGGTTGGAGGCCATTGCTAGTAGGTTGGAGGCAATTGCTAGTAGGTTGGAGGTCATCGCTATTAGGTTGGAGGCCATCGCTATTAGGTTGGAGGCCATCGCTATTAGGTTGAAGGACATTGCTAGTAGGTTGGAGGCCATTGCTAGTAGGTTGGAGGTCATCGCTAATAGGTTGGAGGCCATCGCTATTAGGTTGAAGGACATTGCTAGTAGGTTGGAGGCCATTGCTAGTAGGTTGGAGGTTATCGCTAATAGGTTGGAGGCCATCGTTATCAGGTTGGAGGCAATTGCTATTAGGTTGGAGGCCATTGTGCTAGTAACTGCTAGTAGGTTGGAGGACTTTGCTAGTATTGGAATCATCGCTATTAATTAGGATAGGAGATTGGAGGTCATGGCTATTAGGTTGGAGGCCATGGCTGGGAGGTTGGAGGTCATCGCTATTAGGTTGGAGGCCATTGCTAGTAGGTTGGAGGGCATTGCTAGTAGGTTGGAGGCCATTGCTAGGAGGTTGGAGGTCATCGCTATTAGGTTGGAGGCCATTGCTAGTAGGTTGGAGGTCATCGCTATTAGGTTGGAGGCCATCGCTATTAGGTTGGAGGCGATTGCTAGTAGGTTGGAGGCCATTGCTAGTAGGTTGGAGGCCATCGCTAGTAGGTTGGAGGTCATCGCTATTAGGTTGGAGGCCATCGCTATTAGGTTGGAGGCCATTGCTATTGGGTTGGAGGCCATTGCTAGTAGGTTGGAGGCCATTGCTAGTAGGTTG